CATTGGAGCGTTAAAAATGGGATCTGGGAAATTAAATAAAAAAAATTATGAAAATATGAAACAGGATGAAAAAAATTTTTAAAGATAAAATCTGTAAAAAAGAAAAGAAAGTTTGAAAAAAATACAAAGCTTTAAAAATAAATGAACAATTTGAGAGAACAGAAAAGTTTTTTTTTCTTTTAACACAAAATTTGTTCTTTGTATTTCACCCATAATAGGAAAACTTAAATTCCATAATTCTGTAGGGCATTCCATAGATTGAGCTGGATGATCCAGGTCAGAGAACTCAACTACTGCTCGTGAGCTTTACTTTCTCACTGTGAAAAACTTTAGAAAAGTTCCAAGATGAATGAGCAGACATAATAATTCCTCTATTTGAAAATGCTTAAAAAATGTAAATACCCACATTTCTACTGATTTTTAACAGAAACTGTTTGTTTGTATTTGATTGTTGGATTTTTACTCACATCTAGAGCGTGATCTGCCCCGTCCCCTCCAGGACCACCCAGACCGAAGGAGCCTTCCCCCTGCAGCCGCGAGTTCTGTGTAGCTGAGCTCCGCTGAGCTAGCGGGCTCCCAGCCTCCCCGAGACTCTGGTTGTTATGGACTCCTGATACGTGCTGCTGCAGGATGCTGTGGGAGTGTTCGATTCCCCCACTGTGGGCCCCCTGAAAGCAAAGATAAGATGATATTAATGATTTCTGCTGCTGATTTTCTAACCAGCTTCCTGCAAACAACATCCTGCATGATTAAGACTTCAGCTTCGATTTAATAAATGAATTAATGTTCCTGCATGTAAGCATATCATTTATTAGTTTCAAAACCAAGGAGGCGGGACTAGAGCTCTTCTCATTCAAACCCTGACGACTGATTGGCTGCTTTTAACTGACCGTGGTAAGAAAACATCTTCCTGGTTTTCTTTCACTCTGTGGCTGTTTTTTCTAGAAAAGTTGTAAATATCTTTATAAATCATGTTGGGATTAATTAACAGGACATTGTGTGAACAATTCAAGCTTCTATATTAATAGCTTGGTTTCTGAAAACTTAATGAGAGTGTTTCAGCTTGCGTTAGTGGGCGGAGCTAGCTTTGATTCTGCTAAAGTCAAAAGAAAACCCCACTCACATCTTTATTTGTTAAAGAGGTTTTAAAATCGTTCAATCCAATTATTTTCTCCAATTAAGCCAATAATTTCTTAGTTTGTTCCAAATGATATTTCAAAAAATACTTCTGACCAAAACAAAAGTTAAACATTTGGGAAAAAAACCCTCTAAAATAATTCGTTTTTGCTCCTATGTTTCTATACTTTTGTCCAAAGAGAGCTTTGAATGTGTCCAACCTGCTCAGACTGGTAGGGGAGGGGCGCCGGCGGTCCGGAGGATGTGTACTCTCCGAGCGTCGGGGTCCCAGGAGTGTTGGGGAAATCTGTAAATCCAGTTTGGCCAGAGAATCCCTGGCTTCCTGCCAGAGTGAAATAGAGCAAACATTATGTTGGGCTTCACAAGCAATTGGATGAATCAACATGGAATAGATTGGAACAGGATGCAGGTTTGATTTCCAGACTGAGACCCCCTGCTGGCTCGCTATACTAACTATCGTTTGTTGTATCCACCTTCCTGTTAAAAGGGAGTTTTTCCTCTCCACTGTCGCTACAAGCATGCTTAGTGTGAGGGATTGCCTTCGAGCCAATAAGACGATGCAATCAACTGGTTTTCCTTAGATAGTAGACCGTATAATCTGGTGAACTGTAAAGTGCGTTGAGATTAGGTGTTGTGAATTGGCGTTATATAAATAAACTAAATGCAATGTTACGGGCGCCGCCATATTGATTTGCTTGTTTTCCTCTAGAGGTACCAGGTCTGGTGCGGACAGACCTGGTACCTCTCAGATGTCCCTGCCAGATGATATTTCATCAATTTTTCACTCATGTAATTCATTCAAACAGCAGAGACTGATAGTAATCGCATGCTAACTGCATGCTAACATGTCCTAAGCCTTTGTAGCTAACATAAAAAAATAATATACATATATATATATACATATATATATATATACATATATACACTGTTGGGAAAGTTCTCTTTCTACGTGAACTAGT